TCTGCCTGCTTCAGAAATTCATACATACGACTGACTGTAGCACGTAAGATAATTTTCTCACAATGATCAGTAATCTTTCAACCGCCTTTCCATTTCAATTTCTACTGCGGTGCGCACAAATTCGAATAGTATTGCTAGCCTGGAAGGAATTACACGTTAATTTTAAAATTGTGCCAAAAAATGACAACACTGGAATAAACATGGCTAATTCTTATTCACAAGGGTCTTTTGTTGCATAAAAATCCAGTGAACTTACGGCGAAAGCTTCGTGAATCTCCCAGACGTCAATGTCAGAGAACTTGAGTCCAGCTCGTTTCAAAACATTAGGAACTGCATACGCAGGCCTAAAAGATGGGAATACACAAATTCGTCATTCTCCGAAAAAAGGCCATTTCTCGGGACTTGGCTAACATACCCGAGCAGAAGTTGATCCACGGGATCTTGCGAAACGTACACGAATTCGGTCAAGTAGGCCTTAGGTTTCAGTCCAAGCTTCTTCGCCGTTTTTTCAGACGTTATCAAACAAGCCGAAGCTCCATCGGTCTTGAAAAAATAAGTATATTTTTCATCTTCAGAAGTCGGAACAGAACTTTAGTTTAAATTTTAATTAATATACTGTACCAAGAACGATGCATTTGCTGCGGTAATTGTTCCGAAGGGTTTGACAAAGGCCGGCTTCAATTTCGCCATCTGCTCCTTTGTTGAAATTCGAACTCCATTGTCGCGAGTCGCATAAATATCCTTTCCTGGAACTAAAAAGCCAGAGAAGCATGTTACGAACGTTGGTATGAGCTCCAGATGATGAAGTCTCCCAGAAGTCTGACGTACTTTTCACTGGAACTAGGTCGCTAAGATAACCCTTGCTCTGAGCATCGTCGGCAGCCTTATGGGATCGCATGGCGAACTCGTCTTGCTCCTGGCGCGAAACCTCAAAGGCGGCCGCGAGTCGGTCAGCAGAATGTCCCATGGTTTCTTGGCTCGAAAATTCAGAAATAGCTGGCAACTACAGAAAACCATAGTGCCACCGTTTATTCCCTGTCATGTGTTCCTACAATTGAACCAATCTGAATCGAATACCTCCATTCGTCGATTATTGTCTTAAATTTCCCGTCCGAATTCCATTAGAATCAATGAATTAAAAATCTCCAGTCTCTCCCCTTCAAACCTCCATAGCTCGAATATTCGGGTCGCCTTTCGGCCATTATTTCAAAGGCATGAAGATGTAAACTGATGCATTTTGAAAGGAAGTGAAAGACTAATCAGGCAAACGAACCCTTGCCTCCAATTTCAACATTCTTTCAATTAATTTAAAAAGCAATTCATGGCCCAGAATATGGACCGATTAAAATTCCATGCAATTCTTTCATTCCCTCAGCAATTATGTGTTTACCAAAATCACTTTTTCCCTATTTCCTTTAAATTCGACTGTAACAATACCGACTCATACACTCTTATCACAGTTCAAAGTTCATAGTCTCAAAAGCGTTCAAAGTCTTGGCTAGATAACGAAAATACAAACCTCGGGGGCAAGAAATCCGGGACGAAAGGTTGATAGGAGGGAAAGTTTCTGTTGAACGGTTTTCATCTTGTTCATCTTCAAAAGCATTGCTCGAAGTTTGCGAGACAAACGGATAGGCACATCTGACATGAATTCAACGCCGCCGGCAACGCAAACATCGTAAACGCCATCACGGATATAGCCCATGCCTTTAAGAAGAATAGATGTGAAGTTCAACTACCGTATGTTCATCCATACATTTTCACTACAGAGAAATAAATTGACGATGATTAGAACGAAACGCATACGGGAATCACAGCTGCTGAACTTTGAAGTCCTGAATTAAAGAATATCTTCATCACCATATTTGGAATTAATATCTCTAACAGGAAACGAGTGTCAATCCGAAAACTTGTTCTTATTCTAATATTACTATTATCTAGAAATGAAAATTCTATGATCTTCCCAAATAATATAAACACATGAGGTTTCGCCTGAGGGCAGATTCAGGAATTTCTCGGAAACAATTACCATCGTCATGCTGAGGTCATCATTCTCCCAATTCCCGAAACCGCTATATTTTCACGATCTCGTTTCATTTCATCGTTCATCGAAAATGAACGATCCACTAAATAAATAGCATCGCGATATGATCAGGTTAGTTCACTAACTTCCGCTAATTTAGATTATTTACAGGTTACTTTGGGATTGGTAACGTTTAAGATTTAGAACCCTAGAAGATTTATCGTACATTCCAAGCACACCGTTGGCCTTTTCAGTGAGTTAACTTGGCGTGCAATAAATGTAAGGATATCAACCACGGACTGGATGTTGCATGAGAAAACTTACAGGTAGTGATCGCTTGATTCGATGAAATACAAGCCATGGTCACAGTATGGGCGGGAGTTCTGTCAGAGAAACCAGCACCCAAAGCGGCTTCTCTGGCTATGTTGCTCGTCTTTACCTCCTGGATCACTGTTCCAAAGGAGATGTAATCGACAATGGATTTCTCGATGCCAGTGCGAGCAACCAGACCACTGAAGAAATAATTATTTCAGTCTTCATGTGATGATATTGAACATTTTACAGAATGTTCACGCACAGCAAAGCTTCACGAGCCAAATCATGAGGCATCAATGATGCGTAGTCTGTTCCCGCGAGCAAAAACGGTGTGCGAACGCCATCAATGAGGACTATGTCCGATCCATCACCTTTTACCTTCCTATTTACGGCTGAAGTTTGCAAGCCACGCGCACCTTCGAATTGAAAAATTGTTTTGAGTAATAATTTGAATCAATAAATAAATGCGAATATTTCACCTGTAAAGGCTGTTCCGCCCAACTTCCAAATGCCGGAATGAGTTAAAAAACGGGTAACTGGCACCATTTCAACAGATGTAATTTACGCGGCGAGAACAAATAAGACCTTAAAAAAATAATTTTAAATCACCTCGGGAACTTCTCAACGAAAATGAAACCGAGACTGAGCATGATCCCCGTGCAAAAAAAAAGAATGAGAGAATTTTCAAGATCAAAGTCCCTCATCAGCATGTATTACCCAACAAAAATGGACAATTGCCAAGAAACAACGATCTAATCGAAAAGGCCGAAGCCCATATCGTCATCTGACTCTTCCTTCTCTTCCACCTTCTCCTCTTTCTTTGCAGGTGCGGCGTCTCCACCTCCGGTAGCCGCAGCTGCGGCCGGTGCTGCCGCAGCGGGAGCTGCTCCCACACCAGACCCAACGTTCGATAGCAGAGACTTCACGTCGACACCTTCTAGTGCTTTGGCGAACAAGCTAGGCCAGTACGGCTCAACCGTAACGTTCGCGGCCTTCAAGATTGTTGAGATCTTGTCTCCCTGAACGAAACCAGAAAGGAAAATTGCTTTATGTTATGGACATCATGGTGACACGTGGAGTAACATTCAGTAAGGCGATCATTCACGTAGTTGTCATCTCCGAAGAGTCAGAAGCTAATACATATAATATAATCACGTAGAACGTCATACAATAGCTGGATCAATTGCGGAGTAATGGCAGACCAATTGGGTTCAAAAGACAGTGACGCGAACCACAAGCGATAGCGCTGAATTCTCAAAACCAAATCGATCGCAACGAATCAGAAAATACCTATCTGCCCGAAAACCGCAACTGAAATAGCTATTAGCCCAGTTAAGATGATCACGACACTTACGGTGATGGCAACATCGTCATCCTGAAGGATGAGTGCAGAATAAACGCACGCGAGTTCAGCTTTGCTGGTCATTGTGACTCAGGCTTGCAAGAATTAACAGCAGGCTTCTGGAACAAGAGGTAGATTCAGCGAATGAACATCAATCTGTAATACGAGAATGCACATTCGATTACACGTCATGTTTGAATGCTCGTCGAATCAGAGTGAACATCTTTGCCATGAATTTAAATGATCTCACCAAATCAACCTTATCAATTGGGCTAGCACGGAAATTCGATTACTGGTCGGACGGAATCCCAACGCACCTCCGCGAAGTTAACGTGACCGACATCGTCGTCGACATTACGAGAGAAGAGCCTCGGTGCCATGGTGGCTCTAGATCCGAGGCACAAAGCCACAGAGCATATCTGTCACTATCTGCCCAGCCCCAGACGCGCACCGCTCATGCATCCATCCATCCTGAGTGGAGAATGGATTAAGCCACGAGGAAGGGAGGGAACCCATACTTGAGCGACACCTAGCAAGAGCGCATTCAGGAAACCTACCAGACAGATGCCGCGATGAGTCGAGCTCAAATTCCGGAGGGAAGATGGAATGCAAGGCTAGGGACCACACCAAACCAGGTGGTGATGTAGTTTCAAGGTGTCTTCACTTTGCCCAGAGCTTTCAGCATTTTGTTCACATTGCCTCTTTCCAATGTGATGGTTGTGTTCACTTAGTGTAATCAAAACTGGAGCGGACGAAGACTGTGTTTTGTCAAGTAATCTGAATCCATACTTCATTTCCTTAATGTTATTGCTGAGATCAAATATTCATAAGGGACAGGTGTGTTTCTGAATTGTATGTTTGTATTGGCATTGGCTTTGCTGATGGAGTTTTGTTATGACTTGTACAACCGCAGAGCGCATTGCGGAATTTCCTGTGCATTAGTTTAATCTTCAAATTACATTAGATTATGAATCAGAACAATTGATGAGCTTCCATCACAGAAGTCTTATATTTTTTATCTGCCTCGCAGAACATCCTGGTGAGAGAAAGGGTGTCTTTAGGATAGGAACCACTGCATTTGGCTGTTGATTTGCTGCAATTTATACTCATGCCGTCCATTCTTCCCAGGCTTTCCCAGGACAGAATCTGAGGAACTGTCCATACATGGAACCTTGAAGTTGGCACAAGACAAAGGAATATTTAAATAATGGCTGGCAAAATCTAAATGAGCCCAGAGTATATTAATGCTCACAGCAAGAAAAGTGAGGTACAGTTGTCACACGGGCAAGGTCTATAAATAAGGGTAGGATGGGATGCTGGTGGTAAGAAAGAAGCTGATGCTGGTGTGGATTATATGTTCCATCATATAAGAGGCTGGTTTGGAAACTGGTGCTTCAGTAGGGAATGTGCTTGTACATCAGATACTGTGAGTCTGTGAGCATCATCAGAGGGGGGAAATTGGTGCACACTGGGGATATGTCTGTAATTCTACAGAATCTACACAGTGACCCTGAGGGATGGGCACCTGAAGTGTACCAAAGTTCTTCTTTTGCACATGTATTTCCCCAATTTGCACTAATTGTGTGTTCACACCATCAGGGCTGCTCAGGGTCACATTTGTAAACAAATAAGTTACACCAAGGTTACAGTTCAAGCATTTGTTTGTTACTCATCCTGTTTTGTCACATTTGTGCACCAAATTCAGCCCTGCAATGGTAGCAAAATTTCATCTACAGAGGCACATGCTAGTAACCCCAGAATAGCCCATTTACACCAGTTTGTCCAGCAGTTTTGACCACAGTGTGAACCATTTGTGGGGTCACACAAAGAATAGCTCCCCACTTGGGCAGCTGATGCATTGACCAGCAGGGTCAGTTGGTGCATCAAAGTATGCTCATCATGCCCTCTCTTGTGATTTTTCTTGATGCATCAGAAGTGAGTCAAGCTGATAATCTATTTGATGCATGTTCCATACTCAGGGAAAAGCATCCATGCTGGATGCATCAGTTCACATCAGGGGCAACTGATACAGCTGTTGACTGCTGATCAACAGATGCATCAGTTCATATAAACAGTAGAAAGCAAGGATTCCTGTTTTTTCCAGTTTTTTTTTTTTTAAATCTGGAAAAATCCGTCAAGCCTCTTCAGAACAAAATCAAGTAAGGAAGCCCAGCATCAACACCTGGTCTGACTATACAGGGGTAGACAACCCCAGAGGCATTTTCTAGAAGTCCAAGAAGCCCAAAGCTGGGCGCCAGGCTCACCAGAGCGGCAAGGCGTCTTGGCGCCCTCCGGGGCGGCAGCAAATAAGCCAAGAGATAAAGGCCTAATTACCTAATTACTCCCCCAGGGTCCTGGGAGTTCCACCCCCCCCCCTGCCCCGGGGCACTGCGTTTGATCCCTCTTTGACAAACCCCCCAGAACCCCCGGGGTTCCCAGACAAAACCACCGCTTTCGCCAGCGGCGCGCATCGTTTTTCCCCTAGCGTTCCCCAGTCCAAAAGCCTGACGTTCAGGAGCACTTGTGAGTCAGTTTCCTGCTGGCTTCCGAGCAAAGAAGTCTTGCTGATTTCCATATTCCCCACTGAATCAATCAGGCACTCATTAAATAAAATGTTCCCTTTCAAATTACTATTTTTTCATGAGTTTTATTTTCCTTTTGGTCTTGATGCCTGTCAGACGCTCGAGTTTATATTTCATTAAAATCTCTGCGTTGGGTTATACTGTTCCTGCTTTCACCATCACTTTTATTAGAATATATAAGATGTTATATAAAAAGTCTAACCAAATTATTGTGATTCTGACACACAATCAGGGGTGTTTTAAGGTGTGCTCACCAAGACAAATAGTCCCCTGAGAAATTGAAAAGAGAAAAAAAATCCCAAGTTGCAGCATTTCAAATCAAAAGTATGTAAAAGCCACTTGGATTTGCCTTTTCCTTCCCTTGAAGAATTGCTTTTCTCAACTGTTTTTTTTGTTCATACAGGATCCTTGAAAACTTTTTTGTTCTACAGTTCAATTCTTATAGGAACTCTAAATTATATTTTTATTTGTGTTAGGAAATAAATGCGCATTTCCTAATGCAAAGATAAATTTAGGTCTGTCTTTCTCATGGTGCAGCATCAGGTCAAATGGTGTTTCAATCCAGCCCTGCACACAATTGTTCATTGCTTTTGATTTACAGATAAAATACATGATCGCTTTTGGTTTGACAAGCACAAACCTTCTGATGAAATGATTGCTGAAAAAAATTAATATGTAACTAACCCTTGGACAACAGAGTGTTCTTTCCCATCGCCGGCCAAAATTGGATTATTTTTGTATGCTGTGGCGTTTTAAGTTTTCTGAAGGTCAGAAAAGACCTTCCAGGTGGCCTGAGGCAAAGTCAGGATTAATCCAAGAAAAGCCCATTGCTTAGCATAGGATTTTTTTTCATTTTCCCATGAAATTTTTCTGAGAAAAAAGAAAAAAACATCTGATTTTTCCCTGACTTTGTCCTCAAATCCCTGTTGCCCTGAAATTTCGCAAAAATAGTCCGACTTTGCTGCCCAAGGGCTAATAGTGCCTTGATTTTAATTCAAGAAAACTGCCACTCTGGAAACCCAAGAGACAGTTTCTGGAAGGCAAAAAAGTGTGAAAGCCTGGCGCAAACTCACCAGAGCAGAAATACATTGTGGCGCCTGCAGTGGCGGCAGCAAATAACACAGAACCTATGCCTAATTAGGCAATTATACTCCCCCAGGGTCCTGGGAGTTCTGACACCCCCCCCCACTCCCCACAGGGTACTGCATATGATCCTAGCATTGACAAAAAAAAACCCAGGACCCCAATTTTTGCAGATAATATGATGTTTTGCATGTGTCAAAAGTGCACAAGTTGTTTCTCCCCATTTCTTACAAAATGCCTGACATAATTGAGGAATGTGTCTGGGTCAGTTTTCTGTTGGCTTTGGAGAAAATAATCCTAGCTGATTTCCTTTCCCTGCTGAATCAGTCACCCATCACTCACCCTGCATGAAATAAACTGTTCATTTTGAAATTATCATTTTTTCATGAGTTGTTTTTATCTTTGGGTTTGATGCCTGTGAAATGCTTGAGCCTATCATTTATTAACCTCTCGGTCTGAATTGTATTCTTCATCCTGCGTTCACCGCTTTTATAAGATTATATTAGACTCAATAGAAAGAGTCTAACCGAATCACTTGCGTTATATTCTGACATACAATTCAAAAGTGTCTTAGAGTTAATTGGTTTCAATTTGCAGATAAAGCATTTGATGGCTTTCAACAAGCACAAAACCTTTCCAATGAAAAATCCATTAAAAATGTCATTAAAAACCCTTGATACTATTTTCTGTTCAAATAAGAAACACAAGCAAGAATCCTGGTCTCAATTTAGAGCATTTGAGGAGATTATTGATTCACACTCGAACAATCTGATACTATACAATTCCATTGATTTCAAAATTCAACTTCAATTTTGGGCTAAAAAAAAGAATTTTAATGCCATTATGTGCAGACAAATATTCAGTACGAAGAAAGCTTTCATGTTTCTTCTAAATTGCGTTTCAATATGAGTCATTGATTTCCCCCCCCCCCCCCCAAGTTTTTCATATACATTAGTACCACTGCTAAGAAATGACCACCTGTTGCAGAAGACCCAAAAAACTTGAAAAGATGCAAATCAATTATTTATACGGGGTTTTTACCTTCCTGAAGAGAGGACACAGTTCAATAATGAACAGATCTAATTTTATGCCAGAAAATAATCTCAGTATTTACATACGAAAATGAAGTTTAATTCCCTAGCTAAAAAAATCTTGGTCGATTTTTTGGAGTCAATTTAAATTTGAATTAGACAGTATCAAATATAATTATCGTTTTTGCAGTACTGTATGGGGAAAATTCCGAATATAATGTACACGTATACCTTCAGGTGAAATGATCGTCTTTTCGATCAAAATATAGAACTGTATTTATTCGAGTAATACATACTACGAATGCAATATTGGAATGCTGCAATGGGGCATGACAGTTGTACGGTATAGTAAATTTGCTCATTATATAGGTATTCTTAATGTTCGTACTTTTAGTCAACCCCGGTGAATTTCAGCGCACATTACAGATGCATGTGGCTTTTCGGTAAAACATCGAAATTGCGTGACGAGGAAATTAAAACTCGCGCTTTATTTTTTCTGCTAGAGTGACCATCGAAATTTTCCATTCAAATTTTCCCGAAGAATGAAGAAACGTTGCCTATTTGCGCATTACAAAATGCAAGGCCTGCGGTGCAGCAGAATTTTATTCATGGCCACTTGAATAACTGTCAGGATCTACTGATAAGAATCCCTATCAAACCCGGAAGTACCCTACAGAAGAGCTTAAACTGGAACATGAGCACAAAATCCTACCACTAAAT